ATACGTAGTAGTTTGTTTTAACCCTTTTAACTTAAAAATGGTTGTAAGTTGTACATCATGTCAAGCTCATATGTCTTAGAATTTGATAATTCGCTCATGGAACCTTTAATTATGTTTAGTGAAATTATTATAGACATCAGTGAAGATTAGACCTGTCAATAGAGTCGGTTGAGTTGGGTTTGGGTCGGGTCGATCCAGGTCACAGGTCATTTCGGGTCGGGTCACTTCGGGTCACAGGTCGAGAAATGTTCAACCCTAACCCAAATTTTCGGGTTCGGGTCAACCCAACAGGTTCGAACAATTTTTATTTAATTTTTTTTTTGGCTAATTTTTAGTAATTTTTGATTTTTCAAGCTTACTTTGCTATTTTTTTTTTTCCAATTTTGTAATCGAACATTTTCACCATATTATTTTTAATTAGCCATTACATGCTACATAATTTAAATCGTCACCATTTTACCAAAGCACATCAATTCCTAACTAATAAAAAATGATAATAAAATTTAAAATAAAACTTTTAAACATCCAAAAAATTTAGGAGGAGGCCAACATTATTATATATGTGCTGTATAAATATCTCTTTTGACATAATATCAGTAGACCTGCCTGTTAATCGGTGGCATGACGGTGATGTGGGTTATGCGGATTCAATTAGTGTAGGTCGATAATTGGTGTAATAGGTGATTGGTGTGGAGTTGAGCAAGAGTTATATAAGATAGATAAATGAGGAAGAGGTGAAATGAATGTCCAATGGTAGACAAATGATCAAACTTAATCAATAAACTAATATTAACTTTCAAATAAATGTATTTTCAAACCCATAAAATTGAGTCGACAAGTTTGGGTTTGGGTTTGACCCACAAATTTGCGGGTCAAACGGGTTCGGGTTAAATTGGGTTACGGGTCAAAAAAATAGTTGGGTTCAGGTCGGATTTGCGGGTCAGATCGAAAATTGATAAAGCTACTGAAGATAAATTAATAATAATTCTTCAAAATGGAGCAAGATTCTAGCCATATCTTAACATTTGCGTTTACTTGATCTTGAATTACGTACATACTTGAGAATATGAGCAAAAATCTCAGTTACATGATTTGAACTCAGACCACAAATATAGAAATTTATCAAATAAGTTAGCTTTGCAACGAGGAAGGTAGCTACGAATTATAAGATGAGGGGAGAGATAGTATAAAACATAATATAGATTCATAAGATAAAGCATGTAAAAAAAGAAATCAATCAATAACTATATACTAAAGTCGAATAAAAAATGACACGTGACAAAATCTGGTTAAATAATTTTCCGCTAATTTTTTATTTACTTTTTTGTCAAATTATTTTAGGAAATTTTTAATTTACTACTTGTATAATATTTTCCTACTTTACCAATATATATATATATATATATATATATTTATATATATATATATATATATATATATATATATATATATATATATATATATATAAGGTAATCTTCCATATATTTTATATAAGGTAATCTTTCCCTCCCAAATTCAATAAAACAATTTTGTAAGAACTTATAGAAAATTTAAGCAAAATATTATTAAAAAAGATATGCATAATTTTTAATATAGTATAAATTTGTACGGAGTATATATATATACTACCTCCGGTTTTTTTTATGTGCAACTTTGAGGAATATTTATGAGACATAAAATATTCCAAAGTTGCACATAAAAAAACGGAGGTATTATACAACTTAAAGTTTACTACTAAACATTTTTTAACAACATATTGACCTTTATCATACTATTTATAAAGAGAAATTTTTTTATAAAAAATAGTTGAAATACAAACTTTTATAAAATTTGATAAATTCGTGCATTACACGGGACCATAAGCTAGTTTTTTAATATTTGTAAATCACTTTAAATTGGTAATTATTGTAGTATATTAGAAAAACAAAGGAATTACTCTCCAATTCTGCATGAGATTGTTTGATACGTTGTAGATGGATTTTATATTGCTCCATGTAGTAAGCCTATTTTCTTCGATCCCACAAGCCTCCAAACAAACAAAAAATTAATTTCCACAACATTTTGAATACATAACGACAACGTTATTATCTAGAGATTCTAGACATTATTTAAAAAATCCGCGTGAATATTGCTATTAAGTTTAGAATTTCGCAGCCAAACAGTTAGCTAATGGTATTACATTATCGTGTGATAATGCTATATTATTATTCATACTTATTCTTATACTTATACTTATCTGTTCTTTAATAATTTAATGATTGGATTTTTAATGCTATTTATAGTAATTTTTATATGTGTAAATAATTGTTGACATTAAAAGGTAAATAGTGCATTAGAATGAGTAAAACTACAATTATTGCAATTATTTAACGACAGAAAGAAGTATGTATCAACGAGTCATGCATGGTTTTTAGTACTTTCTCCGTGGAGCACTAGCACTTCAAATTGTTCGACAAGTTGCCATCAATCAAGGCATCTCATCAAGAATAAAGATATAAGACAAGGTCTACAAGTTGCCATCAACCAAGGCATCCCAAGAATTAATTACGGGTTTAGGTTGCACCCATCATCAAAAGAGAGAGCGCTCTCGAGTCGTTGCTCTGCCGCGTCTTGGTCTGTCCAGAGGGTCCATTTCACAAATCAAAAAAATTTTCACTCCATAATTATATGGCAATATGAAAAGTAACCTCTTAGCCTTATAAAATATTTAATTATCTCATCTTTTATCTAAGTTGGACACTTATGTACAGTTGTTTAAAAAGGCCTTCAACAAAAACAATAATCTACTATCAGTAAACTCTATTGAAGGGAATTAGAATATGTACCCTGTGGAACCCTAAAACATCATCATAGACATAAACTATTTCTTCAAAAATTCAAGCATTGAGAAATCTACCATTTCTATATATAGAGAAGAAAATAGAGTAGCATATTGGATAAAAAATGTATAACATCTTGTTGATTAATCCATGTATATTATATTGATACATGTAATAGCCTGCAACTTCTTTCGGTCCTTCAAAATGGTAAAATTTGGTATACCTCTCGAGAGGATGACCTCTTAATTTTTGTTAGTTGAGAGGAACTACTATAAGAGGGGGGTGAATTGTAGTGAGTTCCTAGTGACTACTTTTTGCGGAATAATTAAGCAAATTAAAATAGGAACTTGCAATGCACACAGGAATTTTACGAGGAAACCTTCTAGGGCTCAACTAGAAGTAAAACCTCGACCCTCCAAGGGATTTCAAACCAAACCAATCCACTATAATAGGAAAACACTCCTAGTTACAACCTATTACGCACAGACCTTTACTCACAAGTTCTAGGCTGAACTTGTTACATAGTAGAATCCTATTCTACCCAACTTAAGTCCCTGACCTAAGTTCACTCGGCACTCCCAGAGTACTAACAACTCAACTTCACACTAGAGGCCTACAAATTGTATGCAATATCTTAAACACTCACCCAAATCCCAAAACAACACAAACGCTTGACTCTAATATGTGATTCGAAAGCTAAAACTTACTCTTAAGCTGTCTTCAGATTTTCACGCATAAACTCACAAGTTGTATCAATTGTGATCACTGCTTTATATACAAGAAACACTTGTATGTAAAGTAGGGTTTTCAAAAGTTAGAATATTAAAACTGCCATTTCATAAAACCAAATGTGAAATGAATCTTTTTATGAAAATCTTTTGGAAAATCAAACAAAGATAAAATTTAGAAAAGATTACTATTTTGCAAACCAGATTTTATAAAGATAACATCTCAGAAACATCTTTCCATAAATTAAAATTTATCTTTTATAAACTATCCTATTTTACTTAGCTTGCCAAGCTTTGTCACGTTTCTAATAGATCTCATGCACAATTAACAAAAACACATATTTACAACAATCCTAATAAAAATAAACTTAACAAAACCTTATTAAAAGTCTTCCAAGTTAATTGCTGAATTGCCTCCTCAAGCTCCGCATTGTATCAGTATTTGGATTCTTCACAGACTAAGTTCCTGCTGTCTTCAACTCTCCAGCTCTTTGCTGGAACTTGATGTCATCATCGCAATCTAACCTAGTCTCCTTAGCTTGCTATCCAGCTCCTGTTAGGGAACTTCTCTCTGTGTTCATGTTAGGGACCATTTCTAATTCCAATGAGAAACTCTTCTTCTATTTTCTTTATCTTTCCTTTATTTCTTCTTGGATCTTCATAGATAGGTTACACTTCCACTCCCTGAGTCAACATCTCCTGTTCTAATTCAACACTTAGAGAAATCGCATTAGTTGAAGTTTGCCTTCTCATCATCATCAAAACTTCTTAAGGTTCAACAATTTTAATCTTATTTTATGAAAAGAAAAAAAAAATTAATACTCTTTTTGTCGTTATAGTTATGTAAATAAGTATAATAAAATTATAGTTATGTTCGATCTTGTTAAATTTGTATTAATATATATTTTTTTAAATTCAAAAACTAATAAAGCTTAGTTAGGCTATCCAAATGAGCATATTTTATATATTTGTAGATAATGAAATTTTGTCAATTATGAGATGTCAATTTATGTAAATAAGAAGATAATAATGCCACAAAATCAGGTGATAATATCCCTTTGTTTAGTTTGTCCCATTTGAAATCTTGAGAGATTCTAGTGCAAATGAAATCTTGTATTTAAATCCAAATCGGATTTGAATATCTAAAACTCGAAAATACATTAAAAATTGTACCTTCTTCATCCTATCTTATTTCAGTGTGATTTAACAACCTTCTTCAATGAGGGGATGTATTGATATTTTGTTGCCATGAAGGAAAGTCTCTTATACTACGTAATTCATTTGTTTGTAATTTCATATAAATTTTTACCCATCAATGATCTTGTACTGTACTAAACTTAGACAACTGAAAATAATAACAATGTCAGAAAGAACATAAACCACACACTGAACAATCCTAACGTAGAGATTACGTTGTAACAAAGATCGGACAAAAAAAAAAAAAAAAAAAAAGAGAAATATTTTAATTATTAAAAAAAAAAGAAATACTAATTCAAATGATTGACCCATACATATAAAAGTAGTTTACACTTCACTATTCAACCTAACAAAACAGAATTTCAAACCTTAATCAAACATTTTCAGTCAAAACAGAGGAACCTGCATCGAACCTACGCTTCCACCCAAAACACGCATCACCCTGACTATTCAACACTCACCCTTTTCTTTCTTTCTCTCTCTCTCCTCCTTAGTCTTTTTGTGTGCTTTAATAATCACTCGAATTCACACCGTTCTAACAACCCTTTTATAGTTGCAAACAGAATTTTCATTGAACAATTATTAGTGTTTAGATTATAGAGAAAATAAAAACATGGGTAGTATGAGAAATATGGACCCTCAATCAATAGCCGAGAGGGCGGTTCGAGTAATTGGGTACGGGTATGATCTTACTGCGGATCTCCGATTAACTTCGTGTAAAGCTGGGCCTTCTGATTCAAGATTGATTGAAATTGATCATAGTTTGACTAGAGATTTGATTTTGCCTGGTGGAATTGTTGTGCCTAATGTTCCGTCTTCTATTAAGTCTGATAAGGGCGAGCGTACTCGATTTCGGTCCGATGTCCTGTCTTTTAATCAGGTAATAACACCTTTCTTTTGTTTATGTGGACGGAATTTGATTTCAGATGTAAAAGTTTAACTTAGTTGACATCTATACAAAATACTCCGTAATTAGTTATTCAGACTTATGTTTTTATATTTTACGGAGTATTAATTTGATCAAAATTTGTTTAGGGATTAGAGAAGTAAGTTTTGAAATTTGTGTTTGGTTGAGGAGTTCCTGGGTATCCCCGAAGGCCACGTCAGCGTTCTCTAGACCAATAAAAGTGATTGTATTTTGATGGCCAGCTCGGGACATAAGTCACATAATTAAGGATAGAAAAATATGGTGTAACGTGTTATGTTATCGATACATCTCGTGGACCTAAGAATTTCTCGTACATTTGTTGTTGGTATTTTTGTTTATATACGAAATTTATAGAGCTTTATTGAAAATATATTTAGACAAAACTTGCTACTAATTAAAACTAGACATTTAGACAAAACTTGCTACTAATTAAATATATTTGCCATGATTTAGAAAAATCTTATTGAAAATGTTAACTTCTTTAAGGGATTTCCTAAAATGGAATCTTATACGTATCTAATGGCATGTTTTTTTCGAACTTTGGAGATAGGGTCTTGACTGTTATGCATGTTTAAGATAATAAGATTACAACCTATGCACTGATGCAAATTGAAATTAATTCCAAAGTCACTCCTTTGACTAACTAGTTATGTGTATCTACTGTGTGAATGATGCAGTCTTACACTATATTTTGAATTTTTATACGTCTTGGTCGGTTAGAGGTAAGGCTGTGTATATAATGTCTGCCTGAAGATTCCGCGACACAGGATGTTGTTTGTTTCTTATGTGGTTGTCAATGTTTTGCAATGTTGCATACTAAGCATCATGGTATCAAAAGCATGTTTATATAGATGTAAATTGGTGTATAAACTTAAAAAAGACGGAACAATAAGAGATTATCAATTGTGATTATGATCTAACATTACCAGAGTAAATTATGTGCAACACTGGTTTACATAGAAGGTTTGTTCTACAAAGAATTCTATGCTAACTATGCTTTCATAATTTAGTTCAATCATGAAATGCCTATCTTCCGTGACAGGCCGGCCTGAAGGCAAAGCATTAACCAGCTCCCTACCAAGACTCGAAGAGTTATTTATATGGGGAGCTACCCTTTACTTGAGGAGTCAGCTCAGGAAGAAATGCACCTGTAAATTTATTATTCCCTAATTCTCTGCCTTATTATGTATCGCAGATGTCAGAGCGCTTCAACCAAGACCATTCATTATCTGGTAAAATCCCCTCAGGCCATTTCAATGTAATGTTCAGCTTCAAAGGCTGCTGGCAGAAGGATGCAGGTGTAACAAAAACCCTTGCCTATGACGGTTGTTTCATCACTCTCTACACTATTGAGCTGGGAAAGTCCCATATAACACTTTCGGAGGATATTAAACGTGAAGTACCTTTGTCCTGGGATCCTGCTGCTCTTGCCGCGTAAGAATCTACTTTGTACATTGCTCTTATATTTTGTTGCATGATTGCCATTCCGTGATTTCCTAGAGTGAGCAGCTAGCTAAGCATAAGAGTAGCTTCGATAGAGTTAATGATAAACATTCATCTGTCGAAAATTGCTCTGATCGAAGGGTTAATGAACATAAATTGTAGTGGGATGAGTTTATTTTTCTCTTATATTTTAATTATCTTCTACGGGTCAACCCTGTAGTAAGAGGCTCTTGCTGGTGCTACAACAGAAATCTCCACGAGCAGAATGTTATTGCTCAATATAGTTTGATGTTGGGATTAATTTATGTCTTACCAATCTAATAACTTGTATTTCAGGTTTATTGAAAAATATGGTACTCATATCGTTGTTGGGGTAAAGATGGGAGGTAAAGATGTAATACACATCAAGCAGCAAAAAAGCTCAACCCTTGAACCAGCTGAGGTGCAGAATGTACTCAAGAAGCTTGCTGATGAAAGGTTTTCTGAAGATTTACAGAGCCCTGGAGCACATGGAAAGCCGAAGGTACATTGTGTCTTACTGCCTATAAATTTGTTTTTGTTATAATTTCAATTGCATAACTTCCTGAATGTTGCTTCAAATGTTGCCACCGTGCTTTTGGTTTCCATTTAATTTGACTGGCACAAATTTTACATTGTTGCGGAAAATGACTGCTCATTGGATCCCTGTAAGATGATGCAGTACTCTTCACTAACCTTATCACAGAAAAAAAAAAAAAAAAAAAAAAAAAAAAAAAAAAAAGGTCATTTTCTGCTATACAATCACCTCAGACTTCTGCAGAGAAACACACAGCTATACTTTTCCTATCTCTATACTGAAACATGTCGAAGTTTTAAGCTGAAATTTAAGTTGTGGATCAGCCTAGTTTTTGCCATCTGAGGGAGGGTGTAAGGGGATGGCTTGCCACAGACTGGATTACACCGTGCCTTGGCTTTTATCCTTAGGAATCCTTGCCTTACAGGGTTCTGCAAGCCGGCATCCTCAAAGCTGAGTAAACTGCTCTGAAAGAAAGCCCTATAAGCCACGCTAATCAGCAACCAAAAAGCAGTCTAATGGCCTGATGATGATTGAAAGTCTTTCTTCTAAGCATATAGTACTAGATCACATGATTTGTTCCTGAGTTCAGAGCTTAGTATTGTTCCTCCAGAGGTTCCAAGGGATACCCACATTATAGCTCACAATTCACTGCTTTGAATGCTTGCAACGACTCATAAGTTGCTTGATCAACCTATGCTTGGATGGATGCTAATTCGTACTATGGTTTTGGGGTACCCTATAACATAGTTAGGCTGTTCTTACTGTTTTATCGGTACCTGAAAATAACAAGTTAGGACTCAAGTACTTTCACTTATGTTCTTGGAGTGTAAGAGGGAGTGTAGGTCAAACCTCTATAAGTCATGTCTTCTGTCCTTCAAGTTGTTTTATAGCTCACAGGCTTGAAGGGGCCATTCTAGCTTGAGATTGTGAGTTGCAAATTCCGACAGTCTTTCAAGCCTAAGTTTGAAAATTGGAGGTTTCTTGATCCTAACTTAATGAAATCCTCAAGAGTTTATTTCATTAGAAGCATCAGGCTTTTAGGCTTTCTAAGGTTCAGTCAGGACAAATGACTTTTTGCTAACTACTAGAGTGTTCTTATGTTTCCTTGCTTAAACCTACACCTTATACAAAGTGTTCAGATTATCAGACAACTAATCAATTCCAACCTTGCATTTATGAATTTTCAAACGTTCAAGCCAAGCCTATACCTTAAAATCCATTTAATTACGGCTTATTCCCTTTTCCAGCCTTTTAAGATTTTGCTAGTCTCTTGCTGCATACTTATCGCGTTGTACTATTATGTTTCTTTTCTTGGGTTAAAACTACCAAAAGAAAGTGCTTGTAGATCATTGCTGTTATGTATGTATATATATGTATATATCTTAGTTTGTATGCGCATTCTTTTCTTTGATTGATTTAGTCCTCTGAATGCTTGTCTGCAAATTCTGCCCAACCTACAATTGTCCGATTATTATTGATGAAGCTTCTAGGGTATGAGTTGCAGGATTAACTCTTCTTGGCTTCATTTTGTTCTTGTAGGACAAAATCCGGACTAACTGGCAGCTCCAAGCATCTTTGGCTCAATCATTTCGACCTTCTGTTACTTCTTATTCAAAGAACGACGTGAGATTTACATGACTCTTTTATATGTTAGTGAAAGTAAATTCAGTTATGTAAATAGTGTCACGAGATTAGGCATAAACCTTTTTTGTAATTTATCTGCAGGATCTTCTGAGTATTGCAGTTCGTAGGGGAGGTATTGACATCGGAAATCACAAACAGTGGCTTTCAACTATAGCCGAGTCACCAAATGTCATATCCATGTCATTTGTGCCCATAACCTCACTGTTATCTGGAGTCCAGGGCTGTGGTTTTCTCAGTCATGCTGTAAATCTGTATCTTAGATGTGAGTGTTCTGCTACACTTAGCTTGCCACTTTTCCTTTTAATTCTAAGGTTGAAGCGAAACAAGCCTACCAATTCTATTGATCAAACTCACCCGGATTTTTAGTCCTAAAATACCTGGTGGAATGCTATAAGTAGCTAGCTTAGACAAACATAATTGTGATTTGTGAATGTTTCGAATTTTCACATACCCTATAATGTTGAAGATCGAAAAATGGATACATTTTATAAAGTTAGATCATCTTACTTTAATTAAAGCTGCCTACTCTTATCAGAATTGGCATTTTATGTCTCATTTGTATCAACACTAAAAGTAAGTTATATGCTTATATATGTGCAGATAAGCCACCTATTGATGACCTTGCTGAATTTCTTGAGTACCAGTTGCCTCGGCAGTGGGCTCCCGCATATGGTGATCTTCCATTAAGTCTTAGACGAAAGAAAGATGCATCTCCGTCATTGCCTTATGCATTAATGGGTCCTAAGCTTTATGTCAATGTTGTGCCAGTGGACACTGGAAATAGACCTGTTACTGGAATACGGCTTTTCCTGGAAGGTAAGAAGAGTGACCGTCTTGCAATCCATCTCCAGCATCTTTCAGCTCTTCCAAAGATCATCCAACTTTCTGATGATCACAGCAGCCAACATAGTGATCAACATCTAGAAAAAGACTACATAGAACCTATCAAGTGGAGCATGTTTTCCCATGTTTACACTGCCCCAGTTGAGCATAATCGTTTATCTACTGATGATACTGCCCCAATCGTAACAAGGGCATGGTTTGAGGTCAAAACCGTTGGCATGAAAAAGGTTCTATTTTTGAGGCTTGGATTTTCCATGGTGGCCTCTGCAAAATTTCGCAGATCAGAATGGGATGAATCAACTACCTTGTCTCGGAAATCAGGGATGTTCTCAAAGATCAGTGGACGATTTAGTGGAGGATTAACCTCACAACCAGAACCCCAGAAGCCGGATATAAACTCAGGCCTCTATCCTGGTGGCCCTCCTGCTCCTGGTTCGACACCAAAGCTGTCAAGTATTGTTGATTCCAAGGAAATGGTAAGAGGCCCAGAAGACCATCCTGGATATTGGGCGGTCACCGGAGCAAAGCTGTGTATGCAAGGTGGGAAGATCAGCATGAAAGCTAAGTTTTCGTTGTTGACCATGATTACAGATTCAGAGGATTCAATGTCTATGTAAATTATGTCTTACATTAGTCAGAGATTTTTTTTTTTTTTGTAAGTAAATACTGTAGATTCATATACTGGTAGTTGTTTTCATTAGGTTCCTGAAATTTTTTTGTGGCCAACTGTCCTTCAGGAGCAGGTTGACTAAAAAAAAAAAAAAAAAAAACCTGTCCTCCTACAGTATGTTGTGTGTTGGCCTATTCTTTTTCCCTTTATTTTTTTCAATATTTGTGTGTTTGTGGTGGGAGGGTACTGCCCAACACCTCTGTATTATATCAGGTTATCAAGGTGCAGACTACATCATGTTTTGTAAATAAATATTTTCATTCAATGCGCCAGTAAACTTCCTTAGTTCTATGAAATATCCAGGCAAATGTAATGTACTTGCATTTCTGTCTTACTGTCTTAGCAACTAGAGAATATATTTGTACTCTCAAGTTGTGCAGAATATGTTGTAATCTATGTTATTCAAACTCGACAGGTATATTATTATGCAAATGGCAAACCCTGCTACAATGTTAAACAAATTTCATGCTTATGGTCTAATTCCAAGTTTCCAATTGTCCAAAGTTATGGAGCATCAAGTACCTGGCACATGTACTAGAGGTAATATATTAGCACATTAGATGCATAAAACTAAGATATAGAAGCAAGAAATGGTTAGATCACTGTTAAAAGATTCTTTCGGTACCATTCCCAAAATAAGCTGATCCTTCCTTGGAACAAAGTGGAGAAACATTTTGAAGCATTTCATCTCTATATCTGTAGATATACAGCAAAACACAACTCTGTCTAACATTAAAACAGAGAACTAAACATATGTAAGTGAAGGAAAATGTTTTGTTCTACATTTGTGTGATTCCTGTAATCTTCTGCAATTCAATATTACCAGTAATCTCCACAGGAGCATGAACCATCTTTGAAATGATGGTACCTGTTTGTATCTCTGACAATAATCTCTCTAGAGACTATCTTACAGATGAACTTGAAAGCTGTATGGCAATCCAAGCAAATCCGAAGATTCTTCTTGACCCTAATGGGAGCACCTGGTGGGGTTGCTATTAGTGAAAAAGCAACAGCGAGTTTTTCACTATGATGAAGCAGCAGCAACTCCTTTTCGCTTTGTTCAACATCATGGAGATCAGTCTCCAGCATAGGTACATACCCTTCCTTCATCATGAGATCTTTAATCTCATTCAACTTTGCATATATTTCCACACTTCTGGGGTGGCTTTTATCTCCTACAATAAACGTGTGAATCTTATCTTTCACCTCAACCCAACTCATTCCAGGCTCCTTCTTAACCTTAGTCTCTTTCATCATTTTCCTCATTTCTGAAACATTCTGCCACATTCCAGCTGAAGCATACAGGTTGGCCAGCAGAATGTGCGTGCCAGATTTCTCTGGCTCAAGGGCAAAAAGATTCTCCGCTGCACGTTGCCCTAGCTCCACGTTCTTGTGAATCTTTGCAGCACCAAGAAGTGCTCCCCATACTGCTCCATTTGCTTCATATGGCATTTTGTTCACAAGCTCTAATGCTTCATCTAATTTCCCAGCTCGACCAAGGATATCAATCATGCAAGCATAATGTTCTTGAGTAGGCTTTATGCCATATAATCTTTCCATTGTTTGGAAGTATTCTTTGGCTTCTTCAACCATACCTGTGTGACTGCATGCGCATAGGACACTGACTAAAGTAACATGGTTTGGGCAAACACCATCCTCAACCATCTGATCAAATAATCTTAGTGCTTCTTTTCCATGCCCATGTTGAGCAAGTCCTCCGATTATAGCAGACCATGATACTATTCCTTTCTCACTTAGCCTTGAGAAGGAAAGAATTGCATCATCTATACATCCACATTTAGCATACATGTTAACAAGGGAATTCCCAGCAAAGGTGTCAGACATGTACCCAAGTTTTAATACATGAACATGCATTTGTTTTCCTTGTTCGTAGGCAGATAAATTAGCACACGCATTTAAGAGAGCACTGCAAGCAAAAGGATCTGGCAATACACCTATAGCTTGCATTTCCTTATAAATCTTCAGCGCTTCTTCACCTAGTCCAAACTGAGAGTAAGCCGAAATCATGGAAGTAAAAGATGCCAAATCTCCTATTTTAGATTCATGAAATTTCTTTGCCGCATCTTTTATGTTGCCAAGCTTCCCATATGAGTCAACAAGGCTATTCACAACATAATTATCAGATTGAAGACCTGATTTTATGGAAATTGCGTGAACTTGCTGACAAACATCAATTTGCTGCAAGCTAGTTATGCATTTGAGGACTGCTGATAATGTAGTTTTATTAAAACCTACTCCCTCTTTATACATCTCAATGAAAATTTTTAAAGCTTCTTTATCATCTCCCTTTGATGAGTAACCTGAGATCATAGCATTCCATGCAATCAAGTCTTTCTCTGATATTGATTTAAAAACAGTCTTTGCCTCCTCCATTGAACCACATTTGGAATACATATCAAGCAGACCAACACCAGTAAACAAATCTGCATTTGTATCCATCTTAATCAAAGTGGAATGAAGCTGTCTACCCAAATCTTTCAGTTCTAATCCTGCACAAGCTTTTAGGGCACTCGATAATGTGAATAAATTTGGATATACACCCGAACTGTTCATCTGAGCAAAGAATTCCAAAGCTAACTCATGTTCTTCGTGAAGCACAGAACCGGCAATAATGGCATTCCAAGTAACAATATCTGGTTCCTTAACATTATCAAATACAAGAAGGGCACCTTTAATTTCCCCAACTTTAGCATACATATCAACAAGTGCATTTGCTGAGAACTGATCAGCTTCATGTCCAAACTTTATTAAGTACCCATGAATTGTTCTTCCCATAGTACCATCCCCTTTTCCTGCACAGGCATTCAGCATACTCGAGAGACTAAATTCATTTGGTCTCATATTAGTCGAAACCATTTCATTGAACAAACAAATCGCCTCTTCAAAAAAATACCCTTGCACATAACATGAAAACAAAGCATTCCACGAAACAACACTCCTTTCGGGAATTTCGTCAAATAACCTTCTCGAATCCTCGAACTCTCTGCATTTTGCATAAACAACCACCAAGGTATTCGCAACAAAAACATCAGACCCAAACCCGGCAACCAACGCCATCTTATGAATTTGCTTCCCATACCTCAAATCCTCCCTAATTCCACAAGCCTTAAGCACACTCGAAAATGCGAATTCATTACAAATAATACCCAAAGAGTGCATTTCCAGAAAAGCCAAAAGGGCTTCCTTGGGCATCCCATTTTGGACATACCCAGATATAATAGCTGACCAAGAAACCAAGTCTGGTTCAGGACTTTCGTCGAGCAGTTTGCGGGCATACCCGAAAACTCCACATTTCGAGTATAAATTAATCAAATGGTTCCGAAGTTTCACATCGATCAACAACCCAGTTTTAGTTAATTGAGCATGAACTTGTAATCCAGGACCAAGGGACTTGGTCTGGCAGCAATATGATAAATGCTCAGAAAAGGGTACAAAGGTAGGAGAAATAGTACCCTTTTCAGCTAAATTATTGAAATAATCAGATTGATGATTTTCGCTAAATTTGGGTAATGTTTGGAAGTTTTTAGGAGAGAAGATTGAATTTGGGGAGAGAAAAAGAGGGAAATTTTTGAATGGCAGGTAAAATCGTTGGTTAAGCGTTGCTTGGAGGGAAAATAGACAACGAATGTTCATGATCCATTAGTTGACTCGCACACAACCACCACAATTAAATACTCCCTAAAACCAATGTTGTATGAAACTCAATGTCACACCATAGGCCTAGTTCTATAGAGCTGCTCTGCTTTGCTCTGCTAAATATGCTCTGCTCTGCTTTGCAACTTTGCTGAGTCCTCTGCTCTACTGATTCAATTGGCTTTGCTGATACCTATTCTGCTCTGCTAGAAGTTCAAAAGAACAGGACCTTATAATGCAGTGCTCGACTAATCCTAGAGGAACATTTATTAGTTAATCAAGCTATCAACCGTCTTTTTTTGAAAAAAAAAATGGTGAAAATTGGTAAGTTGGTAACAAGTTAGAATAGAGGATGGATCAAAATCGTATTCATACTCGATAAAATTGGTAACAAGTGAGTGGATGACAACTAATATAGTTGCTTAAGGTCTTAAAATGTAAGATCAAATTGTATCAATATCTCCTTGTGACTTTCTCGGCAACCGGCACTAAATTTTTTCACAAACTTTTATATGCGACTGGCCACACAGTGTTGCCAACCATTATGGGGGTTACTTTGTTAGTGTTGTAGGGGTTACTCACCCCGTCAGGGATTACTAAGTCGATCGAGGGTTACTTGGTCGGTTAGGGGTTACTTACTCGGTCAAAGGTTACTAAGTCGGTCAGGGGTTACTCGGTCAGGGCTTACTCACTCAGTTATGGGTTACTCGGTTGGTGAGGGGTTACTTATTCAAAGGTTACTCGTCGATCAAGAGTTATTTGGTGTGTGTCCGCTAGCCACACAATGTGGCCAGCCGTACACAAAAGTTGCTAAAATTTTTTTACGAGGGAATCCAAGTAACAATATGAAACACAAATTAAAAAAATGCATATGGAAAGAGTAATTAGGTTCCAATTGTAAGGAATTTGTCACAATACCTAACTACTTTTGATTACTTGAAATAAAATCAGTCAAGTTCTAAAAATCTCTCTTACAGAGGCTTGGAGGTTAAAATTAGGGGCAAAATCGACCCTAACGCCTCAAAGTTATGTATGAGTGAAAGATTTGGAAAGTCTTTTCTTTCAACTTTCCAGGTCAGTGAATTATTAATTCCTCGACTGATTTTTTTTTTTTTTTTTTTTTTGGGGGGGGGGGGGGTTGTTTATTTTGATGTTCCTTGATGTGGCATAGGATGGGATATGGTCATCAACAATTGCAAAATGACAATCAAACAATCAAATTTAATATCAGTTCAATTTCCTTTCTGAAATTTCCATCCATTATCTACAAGACTCCAAATGCATTGTTCTAAAAATAGTAGGTACCCATGAAATTGCTACTAATGAATTTTTTTCGTGGCCCACTTGAACATATTAGATACTCCTTCTTTCCCTTTATTTTTGCCCTATTGTCATTTTTTGGTCAAATTTTGTAAACTTTGACCGTAAATTTCCATTAATGTATAAGAGATATAGTCATATGTGATCTTGTTAGATTCGGCTCATTGCATATTTTATTAATAACATCACGTTTTTATAGTTTTTACGTGTATGGAAAAAAAGATATGTACGTTTTAAGACGCTTTCTAAAAACCGTAAAAAGTCTAATGGGGCAAATAAATAGAGACAGATGGAGTAGATCATATCATATGCCTTTTTATTTTGAACCACATTTTAAGTGGTAAGGTATTTGACCCATGACTTTGACTTTGTCTTTAAAGTTAGCATTTAGGTTTGTTTGAAAAAAAAAAAAGTGATAATTAATTGGGTTTGGACCAATATGGTTTGTGGGCATCAAAACCTCCTCCCCCCCCCCCCCCCCCCAAATGGCTATGAATTATTCCAAATTAGATTAGCCAAAAACATTTAAAAAAAAAAAAATCGATGATTAAATTGTTGACTTTTAAAACATAAAATAAGAATAACTTTTTATCTTAAGATAATTTTTTAAAAAAGAGATGCAAAGTGATTTTCGTAATTAAAACTAGATTTTGTTTGTTTATGAAACATATACACAATAAAAGGATGGATGAATAATATATCAAATTACATAGTATCCTCTCTGTATTTTTTTTTTTTTTTAAATGAAGTAGGATGAGTTTGAACTAAGAAAATCATTGAAGTGAAAGCGAAAGGTGAAACAAAGAATAATAATTGTTTGGAAGGGTCAAAAGATTAGGAAAGAGAACGTTTAAAATTAATGCACTGTATGAGGGAGAAGATGATGAAAAAAAAATAGGGGAAGAAAAGAGACATGATAACTTATCTAATACTTGTATTATGTAATAAATATATTAAAATGTGTTCTTAATCAAGTTCTGCACCATATGACACTTTTCTCAAAAAATGATTTATAAAAAAGCTGAACTTTTGATCTCGAATTAAAATATTAGAAGCTTAATAATTGATATGTCATATTTCATACCTTATGTTGCAAATGAAATGACCCGGGACATCGCCCAACCTAAAAACTAGTGATTAACTGATTACTTTAAAAAAGAAATATAATTATACGAGACAAACCACAAACACGCAGCATATACACTAATTGTTACTGGATATATCATTTTAAACTTTTACTTACTACTAGTACAAGTATTATTTTCTTTAAAAAAAATGGATACAAAAAATTAGATTTTATCATTTGGGTTTAATATTCTACATTGTATTCTTTTATATATATATATATATACACGATTTTTAATTTTGTCAGGTTATCGCTTGAGAGTAGAGGAGGGAGGTAAGGGAAATCCCTCTACTCCCAAGCATTTTTGTAGTTGGTGGGACTCGAACTCGTGACCTTAAAATCACAAGACGAGTTCCCCACCAACTCCACCGAGTTTTATCAAATATGTCATGGACCCTCCAATGTTTGTATAAAACGCAAAGACGTATTGGACCATAATTAATTTGGATTAGGTTGAATGGATAATCTAGAAATTGTCAGCGCCAACTCATTCATGGCATATGATATTTATTACTACTTTATACCAATATCTTTAAAATGCAAAATTGCCCAATTAGCCACACCACACATCTCATTTGACTAGTTCACATCAACACGACACCACAAAATAAATTGATTAAGAATTAACACCAACTTTTTGTGTGTTTAGGTTGATGATTTTAGGAAAATTTTATGAACATATAAAGGTGGTTCTTAAATGTATGCCATTTAGATATTCTATAAAGGAGTATAAGTAAATAACACTCTTAGTAATGTAATTACTTCCCACTTAAACAACCGAACCAGCACACTACAAGCTACAACTCAATTTTTTTCAAGCATGCACCATGATGTATGTGCTTCATTCATTGCCTTCATATACAAGAGGCATTGTTGTTTGAGAATCAAAACTTTTGTTAACATGTATTGTACGTGCTTTGTTTACAACAAACTTAGTCACCCTAAATCACATGTACAAAGTCAACGTTAATTATTCGTGAAAATTGGCTTTGCAAAATTTGGGTAATTAAGCAGCATATCACTTTGTATACGGTTGTACGCATAAAACCTTGAGAATGATGATAAACTCACAAATGGCTAAGCACATACAATAGGAGAAAAAATAGTTAGGAAGAAGCAAAGACTAGTAAAGTACCATTTGTACCAACCACCAAAAAAGATGGCTGAACGAGGTTTCAAAAAGAAATGCCAACAACTAAATAAGTAAATAACCATTAATCAACCATGAAAAAAAATTGAAAGCTCAGAATATAGAGGATCAAGCAACAAGTTCGTTCTTTATTTGCTTAGCCTCGCTCATGCATATTCACATGGTTTCGATCACGTCGAATTTATAGCTGTGATATGCTTTAGCACGCAAGGCCGGGATACTTTGGGACGTAAATGGATCATGATCGATTAATTTATAACTCTGAATATACTAGATTACATTTTAGAGAATTAGAGACTATACCAAAGTCTAAACTAATATTGTAAAACCCAGAATGATATAACTTGATGTATGGTCGAGTTATGCATCAAAATACCCATAAAAAACATATTATATATTAAGGATGAAATCGTTAGAATGACATTTATTGTACCAAATGTTTTTTTTTTCAAATGGCTTATAATCCATGGTTTTTATTACTTAGTCCTACAAAATAAGAATATTATAGTTATTAATCCAATAATACAAAATGGTTATCTACAAAACTAATTTTATTTTCTGATCACCACCTCTCATCTGTTGAATTCACCATCCAACAAATCCAAGGAAACTGCAATATTTAAATAATGGAATAAATAAATAAATACATAAAACCCAATTATATTATATGATGAATTTATATTAAGGGAAAAAAAAGAAGAAGAAAAAAAACCTGAGAGAACGAAGAGCAACATGAGAAGAGAGGACATGGAAGAGAACATGAGCACCATGAAAGAACATTACCATACCAGTGCATCCTAACACAAACAATTCTACCACCATTTTCAAATTTTTACTGATTTTTCTTCTTCAATTCCTCACTATTTTATAGAGAGAGAAAGGTTGACGAAAAAGAAGAAATGTCAATGGACAAGTAGTGAGACAGTAGATGAGTTTGCCAGTTTGGCAACTTATTTTTTATACTTTTAGGTGTCAAAATCACACTCCAGAAATCGACCCTAAAAATATCTGATTTAGATTTCGACTCGCGTTAACACAATAATTTAACATGATTCAATTTTAAAAATTAACTCGACCCGACCCAACCTCATCAAACCCGATCCGATCGTCCTAATTGACACCTCTATTTTATGTACTCGTTACAGGACCCTTGGGGCTTCGGCCCTTAATTAACCCTCACGATGTCACCAGATTTTTTGGGATACATTTTCTTTCATTTCAAAACGGAAAACTATCCAAATATTATATACGACACCAATTTTTGGATATCAGAAGTTTATGTTCAGTTCCCTCCGCATCTATATAAGTGCATCACTAACTTAAAATGACTTTTTTTTTTTTTTTTTTTTTTTGAAATAACAAAGAGGAAATTAATTAACCATAAACAAGTTGGCTACAACTACTTAAAATGACAGTATCTAAATAAATGTAACACTTTCTTTTACGAAAATATCTCGCTATATTTTATTATTGGATTTTTATCTCAATACACCATTCTTTTTTAATCATTATTAGGATTTTGAAAATAATCACCTTTAAAAAATCACTATTTGTAGATAGCCACCTTAATTTTGCTTGTATTTAACCACGCACCTTTAATAAAAATTATACTTCGTACCTTTTACCACCACATTATGATTTTTGTTTCATAGCATGCAAAACAAGACATTTCTATTATTTATTGTTTTTTACATTTAAAAACTTGATTTGGTACCTCTAGGGCCAGAATAACCCCCTAAAACCTTAATCGGACAATTTTCTCGGCTAAATAAAAAACGCAAAGCAAGACATTTTTTAGCAAGCAAAACGGAGCATTTTAGTTGCATTTTTTACGATTCCAAGCTCAATTTGATTATTTTAAGACCAAAATGACCCTCAAACCTTACATGAAGGCCCCACTAACGGTTTCTTTAACAGAAACCGTTATGCGGTGGTAAAAGCTACGAATTATAATTTTTCTTTTTAAAGGAGGTTAAATGCAAATAAAATAAAATAAAATAAAATAAAATAAAATAAAAAGTTAGATAGTTATTTACAAGTAGTGGTTTTTTTTAAAGGTGGTCATTTTCAAATTTTACTCTCTTTCCATGATTTTCACACATACATTATCATGTTTAAAGCATACAATACCCTCTCATTCATCTTTTATCATTATGTTTAATTTCAACTTCATTCACTAACACATCAAAACACTTTCCGTATTTCAATTGTATAAAACTTTGTGTACAACCTAACGTGTGCCAGTTAAAAAAAAAAAAAAAAAAAAAAAAAAAAAAAAAAAAAAAAAAAGGTGTACCATAGAAAGATTATGTGCCACGTAGTATTCTCCTCTCTTGCAAATGTTCATTGTCCATGTCAACTTCTCAATTAAAAAATTAAGCATAGCTATTACAAGATTTTGAACATGTGAACTATGAAATGAATAGTGATATCATGCAATTACTTATAACATCATAATTTCAACATTTTCTCATATACAAAAACAACCCTAAAAAAAAGGAGTCAATTAAATTAATACAATGGAAGTGCATTTTCTACCCTACGCCATATAGCCTATGGTATCTCTCTTCAGCTAGAAGTGAAAGAACCTCATGGATAGTTCTCATTTCGATTTTTTGTTGTTATATTATGTCTTAAAAATTGTACTTTGTATCAGTATTTTAATATAGAAGGAGTAATTTATACACGAATTGAAGTAACGTATGTTTTACGAACATTTACATAAACAATTACAAAGTATGTTTCATCAAAGAATTCATGCAATCATATATTGGGGGAGGGTGCGAATACCCTTCCCTATTGCCCTAGCTACCCACACTCACCATCACGACAAGTATAAATCTAACATTCAGGTCATATCCTTCTAAAATTTGAATCGCTTTTATGAATACCATGATTATGATTTTATCTTGAAGTATTAATCATCAAAAAAATAGTCAAAGTAATTAAAATATTTTAATAACACGAAGCTAAAGTAATGTAACCAATAATAAGCAGAGAAAGTATACAAATTGTTACTACTTTGTCAATTTATCTTCCTTAATATTTTGATTAACTTCTTTTCAAAACTTAGAAAAGATGAAAAAGTCACATTATAAGAAGAAAAGATATGAGTTTTAAAAAGTTTCCTAAATACAAAGTTAGCCACATAGCAGCCCCCACCATTGAAAGGAGTAGTTTGTAAAACATGAAAAGTTGCAAACATGTTCGGTGCCGCCAAACAAACAATAACCGCACCGAACCGTCCTTATCCCTCACCGCCATCAATAATTATATACGGCCGCCAACATTACTAACCAATTTTTTTTTTTTCCAATTATGTTTGTTATTCTTGCAAGTCTTCAGTAATGGCAAAATTGACTCATTTTATATTCTGATTATCTAATACTACGAAGTATATAATTTTTATACTAGAGTAATGCACTGCTAGAAATATCAACCTAACTTATAGGGACACTCAATATTTTAATGAATGTAAACCGCATTTAAATAATGAGTAGAAATTAGGTATAACTCCTTTAATTTCTACGGAATACTATATACTTCCTTCCTTTCAATAATATTGCAACATGGATGAAATTATGCATTTTAAAACACATTTTATATGTTAAATATCTAGAATTGTATAAGAGTATAAATTATAAAAAGTTGATATTGTAAAAGTATTTTATGAGACGAATCTAACGAGATTCCACATGACTATATTTTGCTTAACGTATAAACCATATTATATAGTCAAACAAATAATGCAAAAGTTTCATTGTTGCAATATTATTGAAACGGAGGAAGTATTGTTTTAAATTTACAGAAATATTCTCAATTATTAACACATTATGATTATGATGTTTTAATCAATGTGTTAGTTATAACTTAAACAAATTAGACAATTAGACATTTTCATTTTATAGGAAATTTCGAGACATCTATCAACTTCCTTTGTTTTAAAGGTAACTACTTTTACAAGCTTGCCTGTAATGTCAAGTCAAGTTCATGTCAATAAAAGCCTTTAGAAATACAGTAAGTTCTAATTCACTGAATTCTAGCCAGCTAATTCTTTCATTTTAAACTTTCAGTAACACAATAATTTTAACTTCCATTAAGAGTCTGACCATATCGCATTTGAGACTAGATAGCACATTGTTCTAAACATAACTATGTTACTTCTACTACTCGTAAGATTTAGTCATCACATTATTAATTCAAATTACACTATCAAAATGGAAATGCTTCAGCATGTATGATTTACACTGTTATGCTTTGATAAGCACTATAACAAAGTCTAATTGATAAGAATACAACAATTTGAAGTTACATTTCTATTATAACTGGATGAAAGAACAAGTTAATTAGCAATTGTTATACAAGCGTAAGTGTAAAACCTATGATCCCTTCTTTTTCCCAAGGAAGCAAAGGGCAACGCAAACAAGCAGGCACATCCTCCAATTTCGCACGAGGAAGACTGTTTCACCTTTCGAAATTTACAAGTACATATCAGCCTTCCTCCGCACTAATACCCACAAACTAGCAGGCAGGAATAAAAGCAAATTGCAAACGGAGAAACTATAGCCATGAAAGACTTGTTTCTTCAAAACGTAGCTGAGATTTATATTTTGTTTTTTTCTGAAGGGATGTTTATGTTTTGATGTAAGCACTAGCTCGGTTAAGCAACTGCATAGAATCTCATGACATGACGATTCTAGGAGCCAGCAAGTGCAGAAGTAATGCAATTAATCCCTCCAATATACAGTCATTGTGCTACTTGAAATCTCAGTTACCTTTATTTTGATAACTTATCACTTCACTAATCGCCCAGTAGGGTGCAGAGAAGCAGATCTTGTACAAAGCCAGCTCTACCAGCTGCCTGATGTATCCTCTTCTCTTTTTCTTCAGAACTTAATGAAGAATCAAAACTGCAATAAAATACAAAAAGAGAGGGATATTAGCCAAGGTGTGGGAACATAACATTCATGAAACATGTTTATGTGTAAACTCTTTTTGCATGCTTTATACATTACAATTTACAAATACCCACACACAACTTAGATCGACTTGCTTTGTTTCCTCATAAAATGTCAATTGTTCTTTCCTCATATTTTTCAATTGTTTTGTTGAGTCCATAGATAAACTATTCTCTGTGCATGTGAGGCTAGGCCAATGTTGTATCAAAACTCAACATCAAAGAAGAGTTTAGGAGAGACGTACTACGTTGTATTAATCAGGAATTTATGTCACTTGTTTTACTGAATCGTTCAATTTCTTTGAATTATTGAAGTCAATTTTGCCATTGAATCAATTATCAATGGACACTACAATAATTCAAAAAATACTGAAACAAATGAACGATTCAATAAAACAAGTGGCATAAATTCCTGATTATGAAATTCGATACAGGTACACCTCTCTTCTTTGATGATGAAATTCGATACAATATTAACCCACCCTCACATACACAAAAAAACAATTGAAAATTTTAAAGAAACAAATGGAGGATTATATCCATCACACCTCCCTCCTGTCCATAAACGTAATTAATGATCATCACCGCCATATAGTAGTAGATTATACCAGTATCTTGCTTTTCTTAGGTAAAACCAATATCAGCATATGCAGATAGAAATATTCACCCCCAAAACACTGCAGATAAGCTTATATAAATTCACCATATATTTATTGAAAGTAAAGGATTGATCATTAAACTGGACTAAAGCAAATTTGATAATGTTGGTTGATATTTTTGCAGGGCTTAATTATGATACTTCAGAGACTTTATATGACTATATTGGTGACAACATGCATCTAAATAATACATGACTCATGAACATACCTTAAACAACTCTAGTTAAGCAACTCAATTAATTGGTAAAAAATATGAAAAAGACCAGCAAAATTATAATAATGCAGAGACGGAAAATTCCAACTACCTTGGTTTCCAATAACGGTCTGTTGAGGTATTTTTCGAAGTTGTATCCTCAATGCTGGATGCCACAGACTTGGTAAGTTCATCAACCTCTGATCCAGGAAAGTTTAAGATAAGTGATGAAAGGAATGGATCATTTGCAGCATTAGAGGCATGTGTACTACTTGATCGAAATCCACCTCCTCCTAGAAGCACTTGTAGGTGAGCTTCACGAAGGTCTCGGCCGAGCAGGGAAAGTGCTTGGCTATTTGGAATTGCAACTTTGCGCAATCTACGACGTCTTTGGATCTTGAATAAATGTGCATGCTGCAACGTGATATGACTCAGCATATCTCGCGTAACTTTAACAGAACAGATTGGGCAAACCTGAAGAATTGGCAAACAAACACATAAATTTCTTGTTAAAAAATATATATGCGTTGATGGAACAAAGTAATTTATCTTGGAGCACAATACAAATTAGGAGCATATAACTAAGTTTACAGTAAAAAAGTTGCAAAACAAGCGTTGAGACCAAGAACAAGATGTACTGATGTAGTAAGCCCTCGATTGGTTCCATGTAAGTGGACAAGAAATGAAAAGAAGTCATCAAAAGATATTGCAGCATAAAGCCCAAACTAGCTAAGAGCATTCCTAATGTTAAGCTACAAGGTATTATAGCTTGGCTCAACGCATCAATTTTTTAAAGCTACTACACTTTCTAGCTAGGAAGTACAGAGTATTCCAATAGTAAGCTACATGAGCTTATAACACACTATAGCGAGCCAAAAACAACAACAACAAAGCCTTAGTCCCAAAATGATTTGGGGTCGACTAACATGAATGTCATAATGGAACCGTCCGTAAAATAAAATAACTTTTATTAAACACATGTTGTTATAGACTAGCAAATCTGACTTGTATACTTTAGGAAATTTAAGGAAGAAAGCTTAGAAATTTGATTAACAGATTAACGATTTCTTACAAAAGGTAGTAGGTTTAGCCTACAAAGCTCATATTAGTGACAACTCTCCTAATAATGACTTGAGGTCACAACTCTCCTAAGTAATCACTCCAAAACTCTGCCTACCTTCTACTTTCCCTCCTCTATCTATTTATACTAAAGCTAAAGACTCTAACCTAATAATATTAGACTTCCCAAATTACCCCTCCTAAGAATAGTCTATTACACACGTCACATTTTAAGAGGAGCTTGCTTATCTTTTCTCAATCAAGCTTGTCGCTTGTTTGAAAGTTTTCTATCAATCAACAAATTTGTTACATATTATATTCATCTAAAGCAAGCCCATCCCAAAAACTCAAGACTCTCTACGTACATGTAGGAGCCTATTTGAACAATTACAGATATACAAATAAACACCACAAATAACCTTTTTGGCAACTCCACCAAATAACAATTGGTAATTTCATCAAAATGTGCTCGAGCTTCAGCAAGTAAGATTGGGCTCCCTGAACTTATTACTCCAGATCCTCAAGTAATGCCACTAACATCAATTTCTGTGGCCCCCAACAGGCAACAGCGCATTTTCACGGAACATTCATCCACCAATATTGATTAAAAGCAGACCATTGAAAGTCTTGTAGAACAACCTTTACAGACTTGCACCTTAGTAACCCAAGTGGGCTGTTACACATTAGACTTAGGATAAGAGCTTAAAAAGGCTATGTTGTGTAGACTTGGTTTGATATTTTGAACCAATTATCTCTAGTATATAACAGCTTTTCTCTATAATAGACCCTTGATTAAAGAAAATCCATCCATCCCTTCACAATAGTTGACTCATATCCTACTCAAAACAGTTTATATGTCTTCAACTTCTCATTAGGAAGATTTTCAATCAACAACTAGGAATCCAGGGTACAAAATTCAAACTGTTACCATCATAAACTGCTACTAGAATCAACATTAATTGTACTGCACAAACTACTACACTTTGGAAAGTACCAAACTTTAACATAAAAATTAGCTTCCTCAAATGCTTTCCACATTATAATCCTCCTTATCACTGATTAATCAGTGGTTATGAAGTCCATGTTTAACACAGCTCATACTCCTTCCGCTTACATGGTTCGACCTAATGACAAATCCTCAAGCCTAAAATGTACAAAAGGGGCATTGACCATATGACCTCCAACGTATCCTATAGATCATCGCTTTTAATTCCATCATAAACATTTGATAAACTATTCTATCAATCTACATCCACAGGTGGGTGCACATATATTCTAATTTCCACCATCATAAAACTTTCTAACATAATAATAACAATAAACAATTAATCACAACCCACAATTTTCTCATAACATCATTAAAATCAATCCCATTTGTATCATAGCAGCCAAAAGAAACCCATCAAAATCAATCCAATAATGCAAAATACAATGAAAAAAATATTCAAAAAAGCACAAAATCCAGAAACTTAAAACAAAATGTTAAAAGTTTCCAACTTTTCATCTTTACATTATATACACATAACAATAACCAAATCTAAAACCCCATTTTACCAAAACCTCATTAAACTTAATATTAAAAAGGTGAGGAGAGAGAAAACATACGGTAGCTCGAGACTCGCAAGAGTGTTCATCATCCAAATGGGTACAAAGCGAACCGATATCAAATTCTTCATAACAATACGGGCATGGAATATCAGGTCGAATCTCATCTTCCATCTCAAAATCATCCATATTCAACCGATCTAAAACATACCCATTTCACCAAATCATTAATCAACAATAACCCAGAAACCATCAACCAAATTAACAACAAAAAAAATTCAAGCAACATTTTTTCAGATCTGAAAAACAGGAAACAACAAAATAATTAAAAAAAAAGAAAGAAACAAACCAAGATGAGAAGAGTTATGATGAAGTTGGTGATTATGGTGGTGTTGCATATTAAACTGCCGCTTTGCAGCGGCTAAACGGGTGGTCCAAAACTCAGAATCCATTGATGAAAAGCTTTGATTTTGAAGAGAGAGAGAGAGAGAAAGAGAAAGAGAGAGTCAATGGAAGGCAGAAAAAATGTCAGAAAAAACCGAACTTTTATTATAGAAAGAAAAGTTGATTAATTTATGGGGAAGATGTAATACTAATTAAAATTGTTGGTTAATTAATAAAAATAGTGAATAAGTAAACGGCAAAATTGACAAAATGGGTGGTGGGTGGTGGAAGCGTGTTAGAATGCGAGAGGGAGGCTTAGATTCGGGGTGATGTGTTTTTCAAGTTGTGCGTGTGTTTTGCGTTTACACATCGTGGTCCTACTTTTCATTTTGACGGATTTTTAATTTTGTTTTTATGTTTTATTACTACGGAGTATTTGATTAAAAAAATTTGTAAATAATTAGGTTGATGATGTGTTGTGTATTTGTGTTGTACAGTCATGGTAAAATATCTATTACCTCCATTAACTATTATTTGTAACATTCATCAAAAAAGGTACTAACTAATTAACTATTATTTGCAACATTTTCAAATCTTCCATTTTTAGTAATTTTTTAATGAATTACAAAAATACCCTTACTTAAAACTTTATAACATCAATTACATACTTATAACATAATTGATTAAAAACTAAACTAATCTAATCTAATTAAACTTATATATATATATATATATATATATATATATATATATGGGAAGACATGAGCCCGCCACGTGTCATCATGACTAAGCAAATGATGGGGCGTCATGTCATACAATTACTATAATTCATTAAAAAAAATGAATTGTTAGCCTTAATGTTCAAACCTATGACCTTATGCTTATATTATACTACATCCGTTAAATATTAGTTGCAACTTTGAAATATTTTATATCTCACAAATAATACCCCAAAGTTGCAACTAATATTTAACGGATGTAGTACTTTAACTTCAACCACTACTCCAATGACACATCTCATATCTACAATGTTTTGTTAAAAAGAGTTAATCATATTCATAAACTTGATCAGAAGTCGAACGAAGCAAATTAATAATTTTATATACTAGATATTGGATAATATATTTTGATGTTCAATAATGATTTAAAAAATATATTTAAATTGTACGAGTACCACTACTCCAATGACACATCTTATATCTGCAATGTTTTGTTAAAAATAGTTAATCATATTCATAAACTTGAAGTCGAACGAAGCAAATTAATAATTTTAAATACTAAATATTGGATAATATATTTTGATGTTCAATAATGATTGGAAAAATAAATTTAAATAGTACGAGTACTGAAGTAAATGTTGTTGAATTGGAATAAAATAAGGGAATTCAAGGCATCAAATCCAACCGTCCGATCGGACGCGTGTTGGCCCGTTGGACTCCAACGGTTTGATCTTTGGATTCCCTCACTTAATTTCTCGAGTAATTCTTATAACCCCCAATTTAAGAGGATGTTTAAGGTGATTAATCACCACTGTTATTCTCTTGATAAGTAACTCTCATAACCCCCCATTTAAGAGGATGTTTAAGGTGATTATTCACCTCCCTTGATGCTTGGGATTCTTCTTCTATGTTCTTTCATGTTTCTTTATAAATAGAAGAAGCCTTTATTTTTTTTTCCCTGATTTTTACACTTGAAAAATACATCAATCACAATATTCTAAACACATTTTCATTGGGCATAAGTTACTTGACTCAAACCTTCCACCCAAAAGTGTCTTTGTGTGGAAGTGGTGTGTTAACCTTAGGGAATGTGCCGACGAATATAATTGAGCACCTTAGTTGTGTCGAAATTCAAGTTAGTGATTTGCATCACAACACACCAATATTGTTCCATTATTTGTGAGATTATCTTTTTGATCTTACTTAAATATGTGTATACTATTTGTACTAGACTACTCCTTTATTTACAGCAAATGTAACTAATTTAATCTTTTTTTTGTATTTTATAACATGATTTTCGTTATAAAACCTCATTTATAATATACATTTAATGACCCGGGGCATTGCCCGGGCCAAAAACTAGTTTTATCTTTCAATAATCATCAATTTCTCCATATTCATCTCTTCATCTTCCCCATTTTCTTTCTTTCTCCTTCTTCATCATCTTCTTCCTCTTCCCCGTTATCTTTTTCTCTCCTCCATTATCTAATTTCTCCATCTTCATCCTCTTCCCCATTAACTTTCTCTCTCCTCCTTCAACCACTTCTCATGAATTGAAGTAAAAAGACACTCAATTTCAGATCTGGAGAAATGATCTCGGTTTTGTGGTGTGGGGTTTTGGGTTAGTGCGTCCAGTCTGGGTGTTGGTGCGAGGGTCTCGGCTTCTTGGGTATGGGTTCGTAGGTCTAGGTGGGTCCGTGGGTTAGGTGGTTTCGGTTTGTGGGTTCACGGTGGTGGGTGTGTTCGCCTATGGGTTCTGGGTTTCTAGCTGATGATTCTGGATTCATGGGTTTGTGGGTTCACGGTGGTGGGTGTGTTCGTTCGTGGGTTCTGACTTCTGGGTTTGTGGCTAGTGGTTCAGGGTTCGTCGGTGGTGGTTTTGGGTTCGAAAGGTGGGTGGTTTTGGGTGGCGTGGGTGGTGGTTCTGGGTGGTTCAATTTTATTGTGGTTTAATTTATTTATTATTTGTTTTTTTTGGGGTTGGATTAATACTAAGTACATGCCTTATTTTTTAATAAAAATGCTTCGGCATACGTGCTCAAGAGAAATGGAACAAGTATTTAAAAATGGAGGGAGTAAAGTTTTTTTTTAGGTGTTTAGAGAGCTACAATGGACGGGGGTGAGAATCAATCCCAGGATCTCCTGAAATCAGGAGGAAAGCTCTAACCACTTGAGCTATACCTCACTCTCGTAAGTATTTTTAAATTGATGAAACAAATCATTGGTTCGTCTCTTGTTAAGCCACATGTCTCTCTTTTTCTATGTTGGAAATGTGGGCTATCAAGGTTACCAATAATTTTTATTTTATTTTATTTATTTATTTTTTTTACAACAGCAGATTACCTATAATTGGAGAAATTACAAATTGATTTAGAGATATTGGGTTTTGATGTCCTTGAAAAATCACTGTGTTGAAAAAGAGATTTGGTTTATTTAAGGTACAAAATACAGTATTATGAACGATTTTACTATAGTTTGAATGTGTTATAGTGATTAAATTTGATTTTTACCTAATAACCTCGTTTTTTTTTTCGTGTTTTGCTTTTTATACATTTTCCAAAGCTACATTTAAGTTCAAATATTTTTATATACAAATGAATAAAAAAAAAATAAAAAAATTAAGTTGATGTTTGAAAATTACACAACTAAGACGAATGGATCGGAATAAAATAATATTCCTTGTTACTATGTTTGATTGTTTACAATTGTTCATTCGTAATGAAATGAATGAATGGAAGCCTTTTGTTATTTTTTTTTTTAATGAAAGAATATCTATTATCTAATAGAATGGAATTGTACCTCATCTCATGGTTTTTGATTAGAATAGCCATTACTGTTCATAAAAAAACCCTAAGGTTTATATCATTTCTACTATTTGCCTCTTCCTACTCAAATTAAATAAATAAAATTAATAAATAAAAATTAATTAATTAATTAAATTAAACTTAAAATAAAGATTTCACTTCTTAAAAAAATTAAAAAAAAAAACAAAAAAACATTTCACTTCTTAAAAAAAATAAGAAAAATTGACATGAATAATCTCAACTTTTGATCATCTTCTCATTATCCCAACATTTCATTGTTCTGAAATAATCCTGATTTTAAAGGCAATCTTCTCAAAATAATCCGAAGTTTTATTTTGTTGCTTTTGGTTATCCCTTTTGGGATGGTTGTGTATAACAAAATTAAAAATTCGGATTATTTTAGTAAAATACATGCATAAGTTGAGATTATTACAAAATAATCAAAAGTTGAAACTATTTTTTAAAGCTTGTTGAAAGTTAGGATTAATCTTTCCAATTTTTACTAAAACTAGGGCGGCCAACATGCGCATGCGCGCCATAGCTAGCCACGTCCGGAAAGGTATTTCAGTTTGACCTTATGTCATAACTTTATATATTATAGCTAGCTATGTCCGAAAAGGTATTTCGGTTTAACCTTATGTCATAACTTTAGATGTTGGTAGCATTAACAAGGGAAAGTATATAAGCAAATAGTTTTAGGGGTATAAATGTCCACACACTATTCTTAAGAGTTAATTAAAAAAAGATACTCCCTCTGTTTTTTTTTTTTGCTCCATTTCTCCATGCGCGGAGTTTTAGGAGAATTAATAAAATATGGAGGTAATGGGATTGGTGGAAGAATAAAAAAATTATAAAAAACAAAAGTAATTGAGAGAATTGGAGGAGAGAGAATTTGAATTTAGTAAAATATTATTTATATTGGGTCCACTAGTTGAGAGAGAAAATGAAGCAAGTAATTAAAAACGGTCAAAAATGAAAAGTGAAGCAAATATTTAAAATAGAGGGAATAAATAACATTAATAAGGGTAAATAATCAAATAAACATTTTAGAGGATATAATTGTTCAAACACTATTCATAAGAGTACCTCAAACTTTTTAAAAGGTATTGTAGGGATTTGTTAGAATGAGAAATGAGAAAACTAATAATATCCTAACACATTTCATTGTCAAAATATGAGAAAGTTAAGAATAAAAAAACAAGAGGGAATTTGAATTTTAAACCAAGATAATGTGTCAAGAGATTAGTGGTTTTCTCATTTTCTTATTTCTCATTCTAGCAATTCCCTATATAGATAAACATTTTAAAGGGTATAATTGTCCTAACATTATTCATAAGAGTTATATCAAACTTTTTAAAAGGTTGAGAAATATTTCACATGTAGTATTTGATTATGTCTAGTTAATGGCTACCATTCACCTTCTAGAATTGAAGTCCAGCATTGAATTCTGCATTAGATAAGATCCACTTCTAACTTGTGGGCCAATAAAGATCCAATTTCACAGAAATGGAGTCATTTACACAACTTCATTCTCTTGAGTCTTAACCTCACAATGTGCAAACGTGATTATCCTCAATAAAAATTAGGTTATTTAATAAACATCAAAATTCAGACCTACTAGGAAACATAAATTAAATGTGGCCAAATTAGTCCTTTTTTGGATGCCCTTATCCGCCCAAAGTCTTCGCAAGATCCACGTATTCATATCGCCTATTATTCCATTTTTAAAATACTAATAGCCTAGTATGGCCATTTTTGTTCTTACGGGTAACTAATCTTAAACCCGTGCGATGCACGACGGTTTAATATATTATAATAATTGTTTTTGTATTTGTATTTTTGCTTAGTATTTCAATTTTATATTAGAATAGTAGAAAATATTTTAATAGTAGTGTTAAATTTAAAAACCCACTGGTTGCGAAATGAAACAAAA